TATTGAAAAGCACTTTTGTAATTACAGCATCATTCTTTTAGAGTTTTTCGAGTAATTTAACTTGCAAGCACTTTTCTCCGCTCGAACGATGAAAGTTTTCAAGAAATGACTCTCATAGGCACTGCATTCTGACGTACCCTCTCAAATTGTTAGATCCGATATTTGTTATTATTGTGTATATGATTATTTTAGGATGTTGTTAAGTAATTTTTTTCAGCTACTTTTATTGTTGTAAACAATAGTCTTAATCTGATTTTCTTAGAATAACATGAACATATCAATGATTCTGATACGTACTACTACCTACGTAATAATCTCAGTTCACGGTCAAGAATAAAGTTTTCTTAACTTTTCAAATAATAAAAAAAAGACTAACAATAGAGATGAGAGAAAACGAACAAGGGTTGTCAGATCAAAGAAACAACGAAAATTTAGGAAGAAAACAAAAGAATAACAACTTGGAAAACACCTTACAGAACGAAAGAAAAGGCATACATAGTTAAACATATATGTATGAAACAAAAGAGAGAACGAACATATATGATAATACATATAGCATAATTTCTTATGGCAAGTCTTATGTAACTACAGCGCATGTTCCTAATAAGAATAGCTTTTCTCATGCCTTGAGAGTTTTTCTCTTTTTCTGAAACGTTTATATAGGTGCATACAGATTTTTTATATCTTTGAGTAGAGAAATATTTTCTGAATCAAACGATATAAAAAAAATTTAATTATCTCGAAAACTACCTGAGAAATTAACGGTAGTTTGCGAATAATTGAATTTGTTCTTATTAGGAGCTCTCTTCCTAATAAAAGCAGGTTATTTAAAATATAGGGAGAACGAGAAATTTTTACTAAATGAACGTTTTTGCTCTGTAAACTTGAAAATATTTTTGTGATCCCATGACAAAAGTTGTTCATTATCAATCAAGACATGTTAATCTCAAGGTTGAGAATTTTCCCAACTTATATTGACAAAGATATTAAAGTTTAAAAATAACTCGTCTGTCCTTCTTAGACATACTATTCCTAATTCGAACAGCCAGCAAAAAATCTTCCTAATAAGAACATTCTATGTGAAATAAATAGAAAAATAAATAATTTTAGTAAATGAACTTTTTTTATATCTCAACTTGAAAATTTCGATATGGTTCCTTGACGAAAAATGTTTCTTGATATATTGTGAATTAATTTCCAGCGGTTCGAGATAAACGAACGTTTTCTTTCATATTTCTAATATGAATAAAAAAATCATGAAGTTATTGTTGACTTATTACTATCGTAATTAAATCATAATTCAAAATTCATAAAAAAATATATGATGTTCTATTGAATCTATAGTGAGGTTTTATAGAATTTAGTTTCTTCGATCATAAAAATCGCCTTCCGAAAATTTCAATCAAGTGTTTCAAAGAATCACTTTTTACATAAAATTGATCAAGGATAATTACTACAAGTAGCTATAAAAATATAATCAATTCAAGTAAATAAATTAAAATAAAACTGAGGTAACTCCTATTGATATTGATCTTATTTAAACTTTTTATTCAAGTATGTGTAAGCATCACAGCGCATGTCGAGTTTCAAATAAAAATGAATCTCAGTAATTCTCAGTTGAAATTAAGTCGAAAATATTTTTTTACTTCAAATTTCAATTTTTGTTGTGAATAAACAGCGTATGTCTCATACTTACCCAGTATAGTGTGTTTGTTTTCATGAATTGAATCCTTTATTTATGTACGATGAAATTCATCACATCAACATCAAAAAGTATCACTGAAAACTATTTTTAATTAGCATAACAACTTATCATTTTTTGAGCATCATTTTTTGACAGAAAGGGTTTATCCAATTCTAGGAAATAGATATCGCAAGAGTTGCATCATTTTTTTTATTCTGAAACTAAATACACTAAAACTTGACATAATCGATTGAGACTTTAAATATCTTCTATATGCTAGGCCAAAGTTCAGAATAATTTGACATTGATACATGATATCACTTGAGAAAGGATATAATGTGAATGATATATTTTTTTACTATAAATACAAGTTGGTGAAAAAAATTCCATCTCGTATGAATAACTAATGAACGTTATAGCATTCTTAATAAAATTGATTCTTTTTGTTGCTATTGGTAATTACTATTTGTCATGAATTTTATGTAAAAAGTGATTCTTTGAAACACTTGATTGAAATTTTCGGAAGGCGATTTTTATGATCGAAGAAACTAAATTCTATAAAACCTCACTATAGATTCAATAGAACATCATATATTTTTTTATGAATTTTGAATTATGATTTAATTACGATAGTAATAAGTCAACAATAACTTCATGATTTTTTTATTCATATTAGAAATATGAAAGAAAACGTTCGTTTATCTCGAACCGCTGGAAATTAATTCACAATATATCAAGAAACATTTTTCGTCAAGAAACCATATCGAAATTTTCAAGTTGAGATTTAAAAAAAGTTCATTTACTAAAAATATTTATTTTTCTATTCATTTCACATAGAATGTTCTTATTAGGAAGATTTTTTTGCTGGCTGTTCGAATTAGGAATAGTATGTCTAAGAAGGACAGACGAGTTATTTTTAAACTTTAATATCTTTGCCAATATAAGTTGGAAAATTTCTCAACCTTGAGATTAACATGTCTTGATTGATAAGGAACAACTTTTGTCATGGGATCACAAAAATATTTCCAAGTTTACAGAGCAAAAACGTTCATTTAATAAAAATTTCTCGTTCTCCCTATATTTTAAATAGCCTGTTCTTATTAGGAACATGCACTGTACGTGCCATAACACAAACAAAAAAAGATTCAGAAAATAGAATGAGGATACCAGAGAATTTTTGGAGACGGAATGAGTTATTTTTTACCCTTGCTTGGTCGGTATTCCTCTCACATATCATAGTTCAGGGCTGAAAAATTTACCATGGAGTTATCATTACAGGCGCAACATACCCTGAAAACTTTCATGCGATTTCAATGTACCTGGCCTGAGATCGATTTTTTTAGATGAGGGAGGTCTTTATGTGCCACACTTCAGCTTGGTGACAATTTCATGGCGTATTAGCACAATGATCTAAAGAATCATGCAAACATTAAGGTATCGCGTTCGAATTTCGAGAAAAGTGCTTATCTTCGATGTGTATGATTAAAATAGATTAGCGATGTGAAAAAAAAATAGAATTTAGTATCAAGTGATATAGATTAGAAACCAAATAACTAGCAAGAATAAATTAAAACCCACGAAGAAGTAAAAATCGATTATAAAGTTGATGCAAAGATATCCATGTAGAAAAAAAATGGGAAAAATCTGATTTTCATCGATTTTTTCTAATTAATAACCGATTAAAATCAGATTTTTCCCATCTTTTCTTGTACATGAACATTTTCGGTAAAAAAAACAGTCCAATAGATACCAGAATTATCTATATACAGTGTGTCCCAGAAGTTGTGTCCACTTAAGAAATGCGCACAACTCTCTATTAATAACGCTCTATTTAATAATTCTTTTTATTTAAAAGAGGTTACTAGTGAGTTTTTATGCATAAATACAAGGTTCATAAATACTGCTCTGAAAAAAAAGATTCCACACGGAACTTAATTTGCAACGAAATCGAAACCTTCTTAGAAGTTTCGTATGGATCTAAGTTGCTTCCAAAAGACTTATAGAGAGTCTAGAATACTTTTTTTAAGGTTTCGATGAAAATCCTCGAAACCTTCAAAAAGGTTTAGATTTCGTTGCAAATCTTGAAACCTTTTTTAAGTTCCGTAGTATGTACAAAGCTATTTTTAATTTTCGTAGCACGCACGGAACCATTTTTGGCCCTTTTTGGTTCCACAAAGAACCTGTTTTTTTCAGAGTGCTTAAAGATATTACCTTTAACTTCAGTACAAAAATTAGACGTTTCACAATTTCTGAAAAACCATCACGAAATGGATGTTTTTTATTATCTCGATTTCTTTCGTTATTATAATCTCCAAACCACCCAGATATTTTACTGTTGTTCTTTTAGACATTTGGTTTGAGATATTCCACAAAGCATGAGTCAAACTTTGTGAGATCTAGTAATTCAGAGGTCCATGAACTTGAACTACCTCTTCCAATCCACTTATCATTGACGATTTCATTTTGTCAGACGCTAACCAATTTTGAGGAGCATACCATGCATGGATTCAACTTTCCAGTATATAGATGACACTTGTTGTCATGGGATACTTAAATGAAGATGCTTTTTCATTCAAAATCTTTGATGATACGTGGATTGGAAGAGATGGGCCAAGTTTATGGATTCCTCAATTGCTAGACCTCACACAATTTGACACATATCTTGTGGAAGATCTCAAACCAAATGTCTAAAAGAACAAAAGTAAAATATCTGGGTGATTTAGAGATTATAATAACGAAAGAAATCGAGTTAATAAAACAGAATCATTTCGTGATGTTTTTTCAGAAATTGTGAAACGTCTAAATTTTTGTACTCAAGTTAAAGGTAATACGTCTGAGCAGTATTTATGAATAAAAACTCACTAGTCACCTCTTTCAAATAAAAAAATTATTAAATAAAGCTTTATTAATAAGAGAGTTATACGCATTTCTTAACTGGACACGACTTTTGAGACACCCTGTACGTGTAGATTATATCAAGAGTTTTAATATTGAGTAGCATTGACTAATAGTTGACTGTCGTGTTTAACAGCATGAAATATTTGTTTGCCATCAGCTAACGAATGACGAATATTATCTTCACTAAGTGCACTAATATGAACATCCATGTTCGAATCATTATACATGAGCATTATTAAATTAAACATATTGGCAGCAGTTGGAATGAAAAATTCTAGATAATAGTAATTATCATCGATTTCATTTGCATTTTTTCGTTTTTTTTTCATTTAATAATTGAAGACTATAATATTGATGCGCTTTTATTATTCGATGTGATACACGTGAAAGCATACTTAATGAGCCAAACCATTTCTTTTCAGGAAGTATATTCAAAGGTGTATTTGACCACCATACCCAACTAAAAACAGGACAACGAAAAACAAGTAAAGTAGCAGTTCGATCTGTCCATTCGTGACGGAATAACGATTTTACACTATCTGTTTTCAATATTTCAGTGGAACGAAATCAGATACAGCTGAAATGTTCAGAATATATTTGCTTCCAGTTGCTCTGCACACCCTTAAAGTTTCATTAGAACCGAAAATTCCTTCACAGCTTTATGATTGGAAATTAGACCCGTGACGAAATAACCAAAAATGACCTTGAGTTTGAGTGTTCCCAGGTCAACATCACCCTGTCGGATCCGAAACTATCATTATCCGTCAATTTCCGACGATTTCCGATGTCGAATTCCGCCAAAAGGATCCGATGACATCCGACAATAGGATCCGATGATATCCGACAATAGGAACTCGTCGGATCCGATGATATCCGACAATAGGAACTCGTCGGATCCGATGATATCCGACAATAGGAACTCGTCGGATCCGATGAAATACGATGCTCAAAAAATATCCAGAGGTACTTTATTTTAATTTAATTTAATTTATTTTATTTTTATTTATTTTATTTTTATTTTATTTTATTTATTTTGACTTTTTTGTTTTAATTTTTTAAAATTTTTATTCAATTTATTTTTGAGTTATTTTACTTTGGCTTAATTTTAATTTAATTATTTTGTTTTTATTTTTGTTTTATATATTCCCTGGTCAAGACAAACGGTTAAAGAACGCGTTCCGAACATGGCTTGAGAACGCGTTCGGAACTATTAATAGTAGCTGGGAACGCGTTCGTGTGTTCCGAACGCGTTTGTAGTATCGTTCGGAATGCGTTCATGTGTTCCAAATGCATTTTTTTTTATTCCGTTCCATTTAGGTTCTTCTTGACGTGCGATGTAGTTGCAAACGCTGAATTGGATGGTCTATATATACTGGCACTTCAGCTGATCTCGCAAAGAGCACGTTTACTTTCGTATATAAAGATTTTTTTACAGCTTCTAAAGTACATATTCACGCGAAAAATAAGAAGATAGTTAAAGTGATCTTCTTTATTTAACTACCTTCTTATTTTTCGCAGTTTATGAGTACCTCAGAAACTGTAAAAAAATCTTTATATAAGAAAGTAAACGTGCTCTTTGCAAGATTGGC